AATAACTTTAGTTACAGTACACCACTGCAGTAAATCCCTTTTTTTTTGGGGGGTTTGTTGTTTTTCTTTTTTTTTTTTTTTTTTTTTTCCTTTTTTTTTGGGGGGGGTTGTTTTTTTAAAGTAATGCTTAATGCCTTAAATATTTTAAAAAAATTGCATAAACTGGGCAGCCATAGAAGTGAGTCAATTAATAAAACACGGTGTTCGCGCCGGAATCGCTTGAAAAATTAAGCGAATTTTCAACGCTCTAGCACAAAATGCATTGTGTTCATTTTTAATTAATTTTAATTACTTAGCCAATGAGTTAACAAAGTATAGGCGAGTATTTAACCAATGCAGTTACAACGGAGAAGAATTAATAATACGCTTTTAAGAATACACTGGGTATTTATAACATATTGATAGAAGTTAAGCTGTCCGAGGCAATTTATTTACGAAGATACTATACTCGTAAGTATCATAAGGAAGAAAGTGTAATATCTGATAGCGACGGAGTCTTTTCTCTCGTCTATTATCAAGACTGTAAGTACCATTAGCCTTAATGCTTCTTACGGCACACACATGACGAAATGGGTGATAAATTATCTAATGCCGTTGCACACATAATCATCACTTGTAACGAAAAGTTAAAAAGTTAATACATACTTCAAATTGCTAAAGAGTAAGTTATTTATTTGCTACCATTAGGGGTGGAATTTTTTCTATAAATTTGTATGGGACCACTCATAACTACTAATCAGAACCTATTTAGTAAAAAAAATCATAAAAATTGTTACAAAATCAGCGAAGATATCGCGTAACATACATACATACAGAAAAACATACACTCGAATTGAGAACTCCCCATTTTTGAAGTCTCAAATTAATATATAAATAAAAATTTACAGTAGGTACCGTGTATTCTACCACAGTGTGGTGTACAAATATATTTCTTCACGTTATAGCCAATAACAGCAAAATGGAATATTATTAAAATTGATTGCAAATTATAAAAATACAATAATCATATTTGTAGGTGGTATTAAATATTCACAAAAATGTTATATATTATAAGTGAAAGCGTCTTGCAATGATACCCATGACACATAACACATTTCGTAATGGCGCCTTTACGTCTATATTGAAAAAAAAAAAAAAAAAAAGGTGAAGTAAATAAAAATGTCATCTTTTCAATTTATTATTACTATTATTAAATACATGAGTCAACAATAAATACTGCATCTTAAGCTAATGTCACGTAAGTAAACTATATATATATATATATATACATAAAAAAAAGAAATCAAAAATGTCGATGTCATCAGGTTATCATAATATCATGTCAAATGTATAATATGTGGTATGTCAAATCAAATATAAATATTATACTATTATGTATACCAAAACAATCATTTAATTTCTATGTCATTAAGGTATTCATTAATAGAATAGTAAGATTTAGTAATTAATAATGTTTTTAATGATTTTTTGAAGCTTTGTATATTATTTATTTTCTTTATGTCATTAGGTATTTTATTATATATAGGTATGGATAGGCAAAATATACTTTTTCGCATTATTGCTGACTTTGATTGTCGAACTTTTAATCTCAGAGGATACCTTCTATTATTTAAATTTTCAAACAGTGGCAGGTTTCTATGGACAAACACAGCCGTCTCATAGATAAAAAGACAGGGAAAAGTTAGAATTTGCAGCTCTTTAAAATGTGGTTTACAGCTGTCTGTCCAGTGTAGATTTTTGATTGCTCGAATACACCTTTTTTGAGCTTTGAATACCTTTTCCCGATCCACTGAGTTTCCCCAAAACATTACACCATATCTAAGTGTTGACTCAACGTATCCAAAATATGCTATACGAAGTGTTTGCGTATTTGCTCTTTTATTTAACTTATACAAGGCATATGAAAATTTATATAATTTACTGCAAACACTATCGACCTGTGCCTTCCAGTTCAGTTGGTTATCAATGATAATTCCTAAAAATTTAGTTTCTATCGTTTCATAGATTGGTGAACCTTTATAATTAATATTAAAACTTGATAAACTATCTTTTTGCCAATTAAATTTCATAATTTTAGTTTTTTTTAAATTTATATTTAAGTTATTTTTTACGAGCCAATCAATTATAAGACCAATGGAATTGTTAATCTCAATTTCATAGCTTTGGGTATTATTGCCTTCATAAACGACCGTACAATCATCCGCAAAAAGGACCATAGATTGTTGTATCACCGATGGAAGGTCATTAATGTACAAAAGAAACAGGAGTGGACCCAAAACGCTTCCTTGTGGAACGCCGTAGTACACAGCTCGGGGTGTCGATCGATAAACCTTTTCTGTCAACTTTATAGGACATATTCTCCTTATTTCAGTAATCTGCGTCCTGTGTGTAAGATATGACTCAAAAAGATCTAAAACTGTCCCTCGCAATCCATATTGATGTAATTTTCTTATTAATATTTTGTGATCCACAAAGTCAAAAGCCTTAGTCATGTCCATGTATAGCGCGGCCACAGGTATTTTTTTTGTCTATACATGTTATAATTTTGTTGAGCAGGTCATAAATTGCCGCGTTTACAGATTTATTTTTACGAAATCCTTTTTGCTCATTTACGAGTATCTTATTATCTTCGAGATATTTATTTAAACGTTTATATAAAACTTTTTCAAAAACTTTCGCAAATACAGTAATCAAAGCAACAGGGCGATAACATCCAACATCACATCTGTCGGTTTTTTTTAATAATGGATTTACTATTGACAGCTTTAGAGACTTAGGGAATTTGCCTTGCTCTATACATAAGTTTATTATATGACATAAAATACCCGCAATCAAAAATGCTGTCTCTTTGACTACTTTAGTAGTTATTCCGTCATACCCTGTGCTTTGGGTATTTTTAAGTGACTTTATTGTTTCATATATTTCAACAGGAGTGACAGGGGCCATAAACATTGACGAAGACTTATTAACTTGTATACAATAGTTACCTGCGTTCTCTTCATTAACCTGTTTCTTATGCTCCATTTGTATAAAGTGATCGTTAAAAGTTTGAGCTATTTCTTTCGGGTTTGTTATTATTCGATTATTATATATAATTTTGTCGATTTGTTTTATAGGGGCATTTGTTTGGTTATTCTTAATAACCTTCCACGTAGCTAAACATTTATTTTTTGCATTTGCTATGTAATAGTTATTCTGCGATCGTTTTGTGAGTTCAATAATTTTCTTTAATTTTTTAGTGTACCTTTTAAATTTATCTTTTGAGTCTTTATTAGGATTAAGGCGAAATTTCCATAACTGATTCCTTTTGTTTCTGCTACACAACTTAATTCCTTTTTGTAATCCATTTCGGTTTTGTTTTTAAAGACATTCTTATCTTTATTTTCGGAAAGCATAAATCATAACATAATTTATAAATGTCAAAGAAATAATCAAAGGCGTCATTAGGATTATCTAAAGAAAATAATTCATTGAATGTGAAAGAGTTTAGGCAATCTACAAACTTTTTTTAAATTTTTTTTGCAAAAATCGCTTTTAAAAACATACCAATATGTCATTGCATGATGCTTCATTACTGGAATTTTCAGCAGTTGGGCTGTGTGATCTGAGAGTGCAAAATCTCGTATTTCGCTATTTAGTTTTGTGAAATTATGGAATGCATTATCTATGCAGGTACCACTACATAACCTTGTTGGTTCATTAAATTCAATTTTTAAATTGTAACTACTCAAAATTTGTGTTATGATATTTGTCAAGATATTTGGCTTTAATATGTCAACATTGAAATCACCAACAATGACAAGTTTTTTTGATTTAAAACAGTACTTGTGTAATATATTTTGCAATGTATTTAAAAATGTATCAATATCCTTAGCAGAATTTTTAGGCACTCGGTACATGCATATTATAATTATTCCAAATTCAACAAGCTCAATTGCACAACATTCAACTTCGTTACTAATGGATAGAGCTTGAACTTCGTAAATTGTGTTATACTTAATATTATAGTCTACTAAAATACAAGCTCCACCTTTTCTATTTTTTCGCAAATAACTTGAAGCTAATTTGAAATTTGGTATACATAGATGTTTAATGTCATCTTCAACCATATTATGCTCGGTTATACAAATAATCCCAATTATTTTATTTTCATCTTTTAATTCCGCTAAACACACAGCAAGTAAGTCGGATTTGTTAATAATTCCGTTTATGTTTTGATGCAAGAGATACAGATTATTTTGGACCACGAAAAAACTCTGAAGAATCATCGGTTTCATTACTCGCTGATCCTTCCATCGCTACATTACAAAACTCTGTTTGACATGATTTATCACATTTTGAATACAATTTTGAGTTCCCTGTTACACAAGCAGCGTTCTTTATATAATTTAAATAATTTTGTCTGTAACTAATACTTAAAATTTCTTTCAGTAATGACCTCGATAAGTTCAAAGCAAACAGCTTTCTTCGTGGGACAGATTTGCAATAATCCATATCCAAAAACACCGCTCGCTTAAAATTGCTACATAAGAACTTTAGTTCGTAATTTAGCTTAAATAAGTTTAGGTAATTGTTATGTGGAACCTCCGATATTATTACATTTGTATTTTGGCATGAGGTGACCCAACTCATCAAGTTACATTTTAATTTAAAAGGATTACGATCATTAGATCCTGTAAGTACAACCACACAATCATTTAATGTTAATGAAGATATTTCCTGTTTCCAAACATTTAACACTTCGCTTGACTCGGCACCAGGTTTAATAAAGCAGTAAACTTGATATTCCGGACCCAGAAGTTTTTCCAATGAGTGTCTGACATTTTTCCCATACTGATCAGCAATAATTATGATTTTCTTTTTTTGCAGATATACGATCCACCAATATTGACCGTTTATTAGTAATATTAGTAGATATGTTATCCTTGTCAATAACTTTATTTACAACATCTTGCTGCTGAACATTTAACGCTATTTCAGATTTGTTGCTAAAACTATTGTTATCTTTTAGTGATCCGCATATTACTGTTTTCTTTTTTGTGCATGTTACTGTCAGAGTATGTATAAGTGTCTGTTGCAGTATCCGTTTTACTGTCTTTAGTTAATATATCACCAGTAACTGTCAGTATACTACTATCAGCCGTAGAATCTTGATTTGTAGATTTTATATTATTAAGCAATGGTGACAGGATATCTTGTAGTGGTTTAAGTTTATTTTGTTTAGTTCCCTTTCTTCTCGGTGTTGAGTTTGTAGATCGTGCTTCGTTATTTTGAGTTGAATTTAATTGTTTTAGTGTTTTAATTACCATTTGACAATTTTCCAACTCACGTTTAAGTTTAAAATTTTCTGTTATTAGATTTTCAATTTCTTTATGCGCTGACTGTAGTTTTAAGGCTAAATTATTATTATTTATTTTTAACTCAACTACTATAGGATTCTCAATTGTTGATAAATTCGGTAAACTGTCCATAGTATTCTCAAATAACATTGTCGACGATGATGTCATATCGATCTCTAGTTTCGTTAAGTCATTCTCCGAGTTACACTTAGCAGGTCTTCTTATTGTCACATTTTCTTGTTGTAATGAATTTCCGGTATTCATTTTTCGAAATAGTTATATCTAATCCTTAATATTATATCTCTTAAATAATCACAAAATAAATCATAGTGTGTTGAGGGCCTTATCATATAGTTTTTTTTTGTCATGCGTCGTATAATAATTATCTATGACATTTGTGTTGCGATTTTAAAAGTTAATTAAAAGTTCAGACAGTTTATAAAGTCGTTTTGTCGTGTCTTAAGTTGTTCTGTTATAATCCACACAAATATTCTTTTTTGTTCTAGTAGTAGGTATAGTCAGATTCAGATTTATATTATAAATTGTAAATGTTTTAACTTTTGTTGTAAAACCAAAATTTATTTAATCTAAGAAAAAACGTAAATCGGATTAGATTCGATCTCACGACATACGGCGTTCGTGCAAGCGCATTAGACCATTAGACCAATTTATTGGCACTCATCACGATTCAAAAATGTCATTACTATATTTTAAATTTATGATTAGCGCTCAGCTGATTGGTTAACGCAGTGTTATCGATCATGGAAAGTTTTAGATATTCAAACGTTAACTGATTTTTAACAACAATTTTTCTTTTCACTTATTTTCTATCAACGTTCGACACAACACATCTAGGGTAACTTGGTTTATACACTATTATTGAATAAGTTTATGAGTGTTTTATATTTACACTGACTTTTTTATGCCGATTAAAAAGTTATGATTTAGATAAATACACTTTTAGAAAACACTATCACTTGATAATCAGAATAGAGAGACTTGGTATTTAACTTCTATCGATTGAAATAACTATGAAACAAATTTTAAGGATTTAAATCGTGCGGAGCACACAGAGAATGTCTACCGTCGAGTTGCACGTCTCGTATGTCGATCGAAAACGAATAGAAATACTTCGTATGTAGTTATACCGTTTGTATTAAAGATGGATGGTGGGTAGACAGCTTGATACACTACTACAGTGTTAGCTAGTCCTAAAACAATAAAAGTACAAATTTTTGATGCAATAAATTTTCTTTCGTAACTATTGTAGCTTAATGCCTTAAGGCGCTACCTCCAGCGAACGACCTTGAGCGTTTGGTCTGTCGACGCTCGCTACAATATATTGCGTAAGAAATCGCCAAAAGACGCCACCTACTGCTACGAACGTAGTATTATTTTTTCAATGTCAATGAACTATTCTATGGAAATAGACACGGCGTACAATGATAAATGTATTTTAATTTTCTTTATTCGGTATATTAGTTGCATTATATTAGAATTATGTATTCTAATATATTATCTAATTAATAAAAATGACTATTTTGATTATTTTTAACTATATACTATACTGCTAATATTGAATTAGCTTTTTATAGTGTAAATTATAATATTTGTCGAAATGTTAATTATGGATTCGAACTTTACATGCTAATGGTGCTTCATTTTTGTTATTTTCATTTACTTACATATTGAAAATATACTTGAATAGTAGTTATTATTATTTTATTTAGCTACTGAATTTTAGGATATGTTTTACCTTGAGGTCAAATATAATTTTGAGGAGCAATAGTTATTACCTACTAATCTTTTATCTGCTATTCCTTATTTAGGAACAATATTAGTAAATTGAGTTTGAGGGAGATTTACTGTTTATAATGCTACATTTATTATTTTAATATTTACCTACTGGGTAGGTAATTATTAAAATAATAAATATAGCATTAGTAACTAAATAGATTTTTTTTTTAAATTTTTAAAATTAAAATTTTCGTATTTTTAAAAATTACTAAAAAAAGGGTTTGAAATAATAGATTTTCTCACAAAAGAAGGGAACTTGAAAAAAAAAGGAAAAAAAAAGCGGGACCAAAGCCAAGACGCGAACCACGGAACTCCGATATCACGCCCGACCGACATACCACCTGAGCTATAACGACCGTTAATGATTAGTCGAAATTTACCTTCTTATATTGTAGCAGTTTTTTTTTGCCTGAAAACATGGACAAAAGGACATTTTCTAAAAATAAATCCAAGCGTTCGTCGCTAAAATCGTTGGAGCCGTATAATTTTCTCATCTGGTTCGGTTATATAAATATTTAAATATATAAAAATTATAAATTAAAATGAAAAGATAAATATACATAAATACCAATAAAATAAAATAAATACAAAATAATATTATATTATTATTGTTATTATTATTATTATAAGTTGTGGTTCGGTGAAGCTGCAACCTAATGGACCATGATCTGAAATTTTTATGAAAAGAAGTGGCTGACGTCAATTATTATTATTCTTATTATTTTTTCATTACTGCCTTTTTCAACCTCACAAGATATTTGTAACTGCAAAAAAAAACTACGTATAAGTAAGTAAATCAGTAATATAGTGTTATGTATGATTCAGACTAAATAAAGGTTCCTAAAAATAGACGTAGATAAAGAAATTGCATAAAAAATTACTCAAATAAAAATGCAATAAACTTGTTAATTTTATAGGTACTTAGTAAAATATTAAAATAATAAGTTTTTTAGGATATTTATGTAAAATATAAAGGTTATATTATGTTCTAACTACGTTCACGCTTGCGCATATAAAACCGCGGAATTTCACTAGTTTTATTATCAAAATAATAATTGACAACCCTACCCTAAGTTTGCCTTGATTTTACCAACTCAAACTCGTTTTAGGAGATCAAAACATAGAGAGAAAGATAGGAGACTATTTTTTATTTAATATGGTTGGATCTTTATTTATTTGTATATTTTTTGTATTTATTTTATTTTATTGATATTTATGTATATTTATCTTTTCATTTTAATTTATATTTATAAAAACCAACCAGATGAGAAAACTATACAGATACCCCAACAATAATAATATAATAATAATAATATTCCACAAATATCACACAACGCCATCTAGTCCCGAGCTAAGCAGAGCTTGTGTTATGGGTACTAGACAACTGATAAACATACTTATATATTTCTAAATACATAAATATTATAGATAAATTACACCCAGACACAGAACAAATGATCGTGCTCATCACACAAACATTTGTCCTGGGTGGGAATCGAACCCACGACCTGCGGCATAGCAGTCAGGGTCACTAACCACTAGACCAACAGGCCTGACGATAAATAAAATAAAGTCTCTAGCTCGAGAGGAGAGGAGCCGTGGTAGCTCAGATGGTTAGCGCTTGCTAAAATTTTCACAGTGTGCGAGCAAACCGGGTTCGATCCCCGCCGGCACCAATAATATTGTAATTGCAATTTTAAGTGTTGATTTACCACGTGCTCAGTGGTGAAGGAAAACATTGTGAGGAAACCTGCATGTCTGAGAAATAAGAAAAATAATATTTCGAAGACATGCAAAGTTCGCCAACACGCAGTGGGGCAGCGCGGTGGATAATTCCTTTCCTAGGACCCTTTCAGAAAATAGAATAGAAATAAAAAAATAATAAATCCAAACTTCATTTAAAACCAAACATATAAATTGTAAAATAGCTGCAGGTATCTATAACCAAGTAAAAGATATTCCTTTACTCCAACTTGTCCATGTTTCCCAAAACAATTTTTAATTGAGCTTTATATTATAATGCGGATTTTTTATATTTAAAATTTTAATAATAAAGCATTTCGTACGTCTCAGCCGAGGCGCAAATATTTTTCGGCCGCAAATTTATAAGACCGATTTGTTATTCAAACATAAACATGGTTTTTTAATTAAATCTACCAATCATAAAACGACACGCATTTTTATTGAACACTTCCTATTCAATTCACAAAGTACCTATTACATATTTGTTTATATAAAAAAGTATATTTAAGTACAATCATAAAGCTAAATGGAAACACAAAGTAGGAAAATGCATTGAGTTATAAAACACATAAATCAATGGGCAAATGTAAAAATACTGGAGGCAGCAGCCCTATCGCATGTTTACGTACCGCACGGCTGTAATATTTATTTCTAAGATACGGCCGAGTTACAATATACCGTACGTAATATATATAATACCGATTACGTAAGCGCATCGGTTGGTAGGTACTCAAATATTACTATGTTTGCGGCGAAATACTGAACGCGGCGACCAGCGACGCGGCCACCTCCTACTAACGCATACAGCGTAATGCCGCCCGCACTCTGCGCACGCCCCTTTATCATAGAAGTCACACAATTTTCGGAATTATTTCAATTAAAAGAGAAAAAACGAACTTAAAAATTTAAATAAAACGTGGAGAATATAGATTTTTTAATTATCTATCCATTAGTGTTATCCTCAAATGATTAGAGCGTTGCGTTTAGCAACAGATGCATCGTAATCAAGAATTTTAGTCATTTTTTAAAAGTTGATTTTAAATGTATTTATAGCACATAAAAATAAATTAGTTCGTGTAATGTGATGATAAGATATCGAACATTAATAATGTACTTTTAGATGTAGTTTATTTTTCATAACTAATGAGATAATAGAGTCTGAAAAACGCACTTTCGCAACATTTTGGTCAGGGATTCACCTTAAGTAGGCAAAATAAACGGCGACAGTCTTGAACCGGGCGTAATCTAGTGTGAGTGGAGCTTTACCTGACTAAAGCCTAAGACCAACAATAAAAGACAGACGGAGCGCTGTGTAAATTTTAAGTGACACTGAAAACGTACTCGACTTGTTGACACTTCTTGAAACACACATAAATTTACTTACTTCTTCTTTCAACATGACGCACACATATACGGTGAAACCTTACATCTTTGCCTATATATTTCGGTTTTTATTACTTTTTTCAAAAAGCAGCCACTTTATTTTGATGGTTTCTGAAGCTTTAAACGACACTCTATCCAACAAATAAACTGTCAGAACCAGGTGACATAATTCCTAACAGATACTGAGAAAAAAACAAAAACAGACGCGGTCAAAGTTATCTCCACTTTCTTACATCTTTGGTCAACCTAAATTTCTCAGCAACTATAAATTCTATGACTTTGATTTTAAGATATATTGTTAACAAACCGGCAAAATGGTATAACATTACATTTTCAAATAA